CATTCTCTCTCTCAAATAAATAAATAAAATCTTAAGAAAATTTTTTTAATTGGGGCGCCTGGGTGGCTCAGATGGTTAAGTGTCTGCCTTCAGCTCAGCTCAGCGTCTGCCTTCGGCTCAGGTCAGGATCCCAGGGTCCTGGGATCGAGTCCTGCATCAGGCTCTCTGCTCTTTGGGAGCCTGCTTCTCCCTCTGCCTCTCTCTCTCTCTGTCTCTCATGAATAAATAAATAAAATCTTAAAAAAAAAAAAGAAAAAAGAAAAAAAATTTAATTAAAAATTTACATACAATAAACTGCCTAGACTGGGGCGCCTGGTGGCTCAGTTGGTTGAGCATCTACCTTCAGCTCAGGTCATGATTCTGGGGTCCTGGGATTGAGCCACAGGTGGGGCTTCCAGCTCAGGTGGAGCCTGCTTCTCCCTCTCCCTCTGCCCTTCCCCCGACCCCGACTTATGCTCATTTGCACTCTCTCTCTCAAATAAATAAATAAAATCTTTAAAAAAAAATAAAAAATAAAATAAATAAACTGCATAAACCTACAAAGTACAATTACATGACTTCTGATACATGTGTGATCACCAGCCCAATCAAGATACAGACTATTTCTATTACCCTAGAAAGTTCCTTTCTAATCAATTGCACACTTTCTGCCTCTAGGCAACAGTGTGCTGATTTTTAGAACCATTGACTAATTTTGCCTATTCCTGAAATTCATATAAATGGAAACACATAATTTGTACATTTTTGTGTCTGGCTTCTTTCACTCAACACAATGTTTTGTTGTTTTTTTTAAAATATTTTATTAATTTATAAATTAATTCCCGAGAGAGGGAATACAAGCAGGGAGTGGGAGAGGGAGAAGCAGGGAGAAGCAGGCTTCCCGCTGAGCAGGGAGCTGGATGCGGGGCTCAATCCCAGGACCCTGGGATCATGACCTGAGCCGAAGGCAGACGCTTAATAACTGAGCCACCCAGGCGCCCCTCCTTTTTTTTTTTTTTTTAGGTTTTATTTATTTATTTGAGAGAGAGAGAGAAAGCACAAGCAGGGAGAGGGGCAAAGGGAGGGACAGAGGGAGAAGCAGGTTCCCCACTGAGCAAGGAGTCTGATGTGGAGCTCTATCCCAGGACCCGGGGATCATGACCCAAGCCAAAGGCAGACGCTTAACCAACTGAGCCACCCAGGTGCCCCACCCCCTCTTCCTTTTTAAAAATTTAAAAAATTTTAGTTTGTATTTTTAAAGAAATTTATTTATTTATTTTGAAAGAGAGTGCGCATGTGAGCACGGGGTGGGGGGCAGAGAGAGAGGAAGAGAATCCCAGGCAGAGTCTGCACTGAGCATGGAGACAGACTCTGGGCTCAAGGACATGACCATAAGATCACGACCACAGCCGAAACCAAGAGTCGGATGCTTTAACCAACTATGCCCCTTTATTCATTTATTTATTATCATTATTTTTAGAAAAAAATGTTTAGACTTTATTTATTTGACAGAGAGAGACACAGTGAGAGAGGGAACACAAGCAGAGGGAGTGGGAGAGGGAGAAGCAGGCTTCCCGCGGAGCAGAGAGCCCGATGCGGGGCTCGATTCCAGGACTCTGGGATCATGACCTGAGCTGAACGCAGACGCTTAACGACTGAGCCACCCAGGCGCCCCATTATCATTATTTTTAAAAGATTTTATTTATTTATTTGATAGAGACAGACACAGCGAGAGAGGGAACACAAGCAGGGGGATTGGGAGAGGGAGAAGCAGGCTTCCCGCTGAGCAGGGAGCCCAATGCAGGGCTCGATCCCAGGACCCTGGGATCCTGACCTGAGCCGAAGGCAGACGCTTAACGACTGAGCCACCCAGGTTCCTTCACATGGTATTTTCTTTTTTTTTTTTTTAAGATTTTATTTATTTGACAGAAAGAGACACAGTGAGAGAGGGAACACAAGCAGGGGGATTGGGAGAGGGAGAAGCAGGCTTCCCGCTGAGCAGGGAGCCCAATGCAGGGCTCGATCCCAGGACCCTGGGATCATGACCCGAGCCGAAGGTAGAGGCTTAATGACTGAGCCACTCAGGCGCCCCAAGATTTTATTTATTTGAGAGAGAGAGAGAGCGCACATAAGCAGGGGGAAGGGCAGAGGGAGATGGGGGGAATTGGGCTCCATCCCCGGACCCTGAGGTCATGACCTGAGCAGAAGGCAGACACTTAACCGACTGAACCACCCAGGTACCACAACAGGTGCCTCTTTAAATTTTATTTTTAAGTCTTTTTATTTATTTATTTATTTATTTATTTATTTATTTATTTTTAAATATTTTATTTATTTATTTGACAGAGCGAGAGAGAGACAGCGAGAGTGGGAACACAGCAGGAAGAGTGGGAAAGGGAGAAGCGGGCTTTCCACTAAGCAGGGAGCCCAATGCGGGCGGGGCTCGATCCCAGGACCCTGGGATCATTACCTGAGCTGAAGGCAGACGCTTAACCACTGAGCCACCCAGGTGCCCCTAAGTCTTTTTATTTTTATTTATTTATTTATTTATTTATTTATTTATTTATTTATTTATTTAATTTTTAATTTTTTTTTTTTTTTTTAAAGATTTTATTTATTTATTTGACAGAGACACAGCGAGAGAGGGAACACAAGCAGGGGCAGTGGGAGAGGGAGAAGCAGGCTCCCCGCAGAGCAGGGAGCCCGACGTGGGACTCGATCCCAGGACCCTGGGATCATGACCTGAGCTGAAGGCAGTCGCTTAACCAACTGAGCCACCCAGGCGCCCTAATTTTTAATTTTTTAAAATATTTTATTTATTTGACAGAGAGAGACACAGTGAGAGAGGGAACACAAGCAGGGGGAGTAGGAGAGGGAGAAGCAGGCTCTCCGTGGAGCAGGGAGCCTGATGTGGGGCTCGATCCCAGGACCCTGGGATCATGACCTGAGCCGAAGGCAGACGCTTAACGACTGAGCCAACCAGGCACCCCCCTTTTTATTTTTTTAAAGTAATCTTCACATCCAGTGTGGAGCTCAGCGTGGGGCTTGAACTTACAACCCTGAGATCAAGACCTGAGCTGAAATCAAGAGTCAGACACTTAACTGACTGAACCACTCAAGGCACCCCTTTAGATTTTATTTTTAAAGATTATTTTAAAGATTTTTTTTTAAAGTAATCTTCATACCAAACGAGGGAATAGAATCACAACCTGGACATCAAGAGTCTCATGCTCCAAGGACTGAGCCAGCCACACCTCCCCACCCTCCACCCCTTTTCTTATCTGATCTGCAATTGACAGATTGATAGGGCATAAGCGCTCCTCCTTCTGGCTTCTGACTCCATTTCATCTGCCTATTTATTTTCAAAGGTTTTTTTTGTTTTTTGTAATTTCTACACCCGACCTGGGGTTCCAACTCATGACCCTGAAATCAAGAGATGCATGCTCTTTCCAGTGAGCCAGCCAGACACCCCCAATGACTCTATTTTAAATGAGGTTTCCTTTGATTAATTTTCACAATACCAGTTATTCCTTTTTGTTTTATTGCTGAATAATTTCCATTGTGTGAATACGCTTGAAAAAGTCAACGTTATTAAAAAGCTAGGAGACTAACAAAAGATGTAACAACCAAATGCATGATTTTGGTTTGAAAAACCGCTGGTTCAGTCAGTGGAGCATGCAATTCTTGATCTCAGGGTCCTGAGTTCACACTCCATGTTGGGCATAGAGCCTACTTAAAAAACAACAACAGCAAACTATAAAAGCCATTACTTGGGAAAAAAAAAGCCATTACTTGGCCAACTGAGGAAATGTAAATATCAACTGGTTATTAGGTACCACTAGGGGTATTTAAGTTTTATTAGCTTACTAAGACTTTTTTTTTTTTTTTCAAAATCTTTATCCAATTTGTCTATTAATGGCACTACTGTTCTATCAGTTGCTCAGGCTTAAAGCTCTTGTAACACGAGCTCCAACATTTTTGCTTCCACCCCCACCCACCCTCACATCAATTCAGGTTTTCAGCACTTACTTTTCACAGCTTTATTGAAACAAAACTCACATACCATACAACTCACCTATTTAAAGTATATACATAAATGGTTTAAAAGCATATTCACAGGGTGTTCAACTGTCATCAATATCAATTGAGAATATTTTCATCACCTCTCCCAAAAAACTTTGTACCCATTAACAGTCACTCCTCATTATGTTTTTATCACTTCTGATCTGGCTCCTTACAACAGCCTCCCAACTCATCTTCATCGCTCTCCTTTCACTTTATCTCATGTACATCACAGACATTTCAGTTTCTCTAAAGTATGGTTTAGATACACCTTCTTAACTGGATACCTTCAGTGACTCCCCCAAAGGACGCTTGGATTCAAGTAAACAAACATCCATTAACACACATTCTGTTCTGGGAACTGTGCTAGGTGCTGTGAACAAAATGGGTACTACTGAAGACTTCCTTTACCGCTCTAGTGCCTGTGCTCAGGCAGGGCCCTCCGCCTAGAATGATCTCTTGACCCCCACCTCACCCCCAAAGGCTAGAAAAATTTCCCAACTTTTAATGACCGTCTTCCCCGACAATTGACTGCGAACTCGGCAGCTCTCTTGAACTCTCCTGACACTTCTCTACCACGTTCGCTTACACACACTTAAACCTCAATACTTGTTTGCTCAATACATCCACAGAACATTCTGTGGCAGCAGCAATGCTCCTTTCCGCGGGAACTGCCTGTTTCTCTCCCCACAGGATTGATTCCTTAGAATCCCACCTCCCGTCCTCCAGTCTTCAAAGACCTCCACCACCCCGGGAATCATAGATTTGGGCAGCTCCTGGTAAGAGCGGGCTAAGAGAGGTCGGCTCTTCCAGGTCACGTCTGCACGAAGAGACCTCCGGGCCTCTATGATCCGTGCTTCCGCTCAGGAGAACAGAGCCACCCCTTTTCCGGCGCTTCTCTGTGCCCCACGTCCTCCCCGACGCTGGCGGTGACGGAAGCACGCCGGGGGTGACCTCACCTTCCAACATGGCGGCGGCGGTAGATTAGGGCCGCGGGTCGAAGCAGCCACCGCCGCTGGGGGACCCTGTCGGAAACGACTGCCGCCGCCGCCGCCGCCGCCGCCGCCGCCCCTTCCATCTCTTCTGGGGCAAGGGGCCAGGGCCAGGTGAGGGGAGAGGGGTTCTGGGCAGGCAGAGTTGGATCCTCATCCAGCTCCTCAGGCGGTTTTCACTGGGCAGGAAGGTGTCCGAGACTGCCGATCCACCGCCTCCCCAGTGGTTCCGACGACGCGTGAGTGAGTGACAGAGAGTGTGTGTGTACCGGCGCTCCTTTGCCTGAGGGTTCTCAAAGGTTGAGGGGTCCATTTCTTTGTAACCGGACCTGTCCAGCGTGGTCCCGCCGCGGACGCTTGTTGAGCGGGGCTTCCTGAGAGGGCTGCCAGAGGCGGAGGAACTCGGCCCTTGTCCTGCACCGCCGGTCTTCCCCACAAAGACTTTCACGTGGAAAACCCGTGTCCATTTTTAGGACCAGGCTGGGGATCGTGGACTTCTTTTTGGTTGAGGGAAAGGTTTCATGCGATTCGTTTAGAATGATTATAGATTATCTCTGCCAGTCCTAGTTGGTTTTTCTCCCAGATTGTTAGAAATTTTTTATCCTTTATTCACTGCTGTTCTGACACCCATCATTACTATTATTTATTTTTTAGAAAAATCTGCTTTCTTATTCTTGGAAGCTCCCCACTGGGATCTTTGTCTTAACCACTCCCCGCACCAGTATTTGTTTATTTAAAGTAGCTATTGCACTGTCTCTATTTAGAAGTTTTAAACTGAACCGACGGTAACCTTCCCTCTCCCCCCTTTTTTTGCTTTATGATGTAAAGCAAAAACAAACAAAGACTTTTTGCGAAATTGTCAGTGAGATTTCCTCCGGAGGTTTGGGTGTAAACCACAATGTTGATCTCTGCCCTGACTTCTTGTGACCTTGGATGAGTTGCCACACCCTTCTAGTACCTTCTTTTTTTATCTCCCAGAAAATTAAGCAAATGTTTTTGTAGGAAGTAAACTATTTACATCTCATATACATAGTTGGATAAATGCACAGTGCACATTTGCATCTGCAAATTGAAACTAAGCCGTTATGAAATATTCTTTATTTGATAATAGGCCAAGAAGGGGTTTGAAAATCCTTTTACTCTGATTGGCTAGGTACTATTTTCAGTGTTTGTTTTTTTTTTTTTTAATGATTCATTTTCTCTTGGAGGCTTGTACCCCAGTAGTTGAATTTAGTTGAAGGATATATAAAGTTGAGTCCAACCAGTTTTGTGAAGAAAAGATGTGCTCTCTAGCACATCAGTTAATCAGTACTAAATACTAAATATCTCATAACACTAAACTTTTAGGACAAGTAATTTGCAACAATAATCTTGTTTTAAAAATATATTTCTCTTATAAAATATCTTAGCCATAAAAAACAAGTTTTAAACAGTCTTGCTGTCCTACTTTTTATCAGTTTTTCAATTTCAATTTCATTTTGATTCGTATCTTATTCCAAATAAATGGTCATCAAGATTTCTTATTTAATATATATTACAACGTTGAAGGGAGGGGGCTATTTTCAGAATAGCTGATTTTTTTAACACCTTGAGATATAACTAACATACAGTTCACCAATTGCACGATTTGATGGGTTTTTTAAAAACGGTTTTAGTATATTCACAGAATTCGCAACCACCACCACAATTTTCATCACCCCCAAAAGAAACCCTGTACCCATTAGCAGTCATTTTTTATTCCCACTCTTCCTCACCTCCCCTACCTAGGCAACCACTGACTTACTTTGTCTCTATAGATTGACCAATTCTGGATATTTCATATAAACAGAATTATGCAATATGTGGTCTTTTGTGACTGGCCTCTTTTACTTAGCATGATGTTTTCAGGGTTCATCCATGTGATAGCATGTATCAGTCCTTTTTATGGCCACAATATGCCATAGTATGTATATACCAATTTTCTTTATTCATCAGTTGATGGGCAGTTATTTCCACTATTTGGCTGTTAAATATTACGCTGCTATAACTATTCATGTGCAAATTTTTGTGTAGACTTGTGTTTTCATGTCTCTGGCATATACCTGGGAGTGGGACAGAGCAACTGAATTTTATGCTTCCCTTTTATAAAGCTATCTACACATACATGGGAAGCCTTATTATTGTGAAAGACTGTACCTGTGGGGAGCGTGAGAGTGAGGCATTCCTCTATAAGTACATTATCTTTGAATGCCAGCTGCTGAGTGAAAACATTTTGGGGCAGCTCTTAAAACAAGATTGAACTAGAGTATTTCAGTTAAGCATGTTTCAGAATGAAAGGGACTCCCTACACTAGAATATTTCATGTTTGCTGAGTTTTATTTTATTTTTTTTTAAAGATTTTATTTAATTGACAGGGAGAGAGAGAGAGAGACAGCATGAGAGGGAACACAAGCAGGGGGAGTGGGAGAGGAAGAAGCAGGCTTCCGGCTGAGCAGAGAGCCCGATGTGGGGCTCGATCCCAGTCATGACCTGAGCTGAAGGCAGTCGCTTAACCAACTGAGCCACGCAGGCGCCCCCATGTTTGCTGAGTTTTAAAAGTGATACCCTTGCCAAGTTGCATTTTGCAGCTGGGTGGGGTAAATTTTTTAAAATTTCACAATTTTTATTAGGATTATTTAATTTTACTTCTTTTATTTTTTTAAAGATTTAATTTATTTATTTGACACACAGAGAGAGAGAGGAATCACAAGTAGGCAGAGTGGCAGAGAACGGCAGAGGGAGAAGCAGGCTCCCAGCTGAGCAAGGAGCCCGATGTGGGACTCTATCCCAGGACCCTGGGATCATGACCTGAGCCGAAGGCAGACGCTTAACGACTGAGCCACCCAGGTGCCCTACTTCTCTTATTTTAGAGGAAGTCCTAGAATTCTGTAGGGACTAATAAAGTATGGATCTTAAAAAATGCAAGTTACAGGACTTGATGGTAATTGTGGAACTTGAAACAAACTCCATACTCAGGTCACCAATGACTAGAGGTCTGGTAATCCCAAAACTTTGTTAATGTTTAAAATTCAGAGTTTTGGTTTGTGATTGAGTTATCTGTGGATTTTTATTTTTCTTTTTGTAAACTGGGATTATAGATCTGTTCATCTCTATTACTGGGGTATATAACAGTTTTATTACGTTATAATTTTAGTGGATGGAAATGGTCTAAAAACAAAGCTTCTTGAAATAATTTAATTAAAACATGTTAAGTTGTAAATGTGTTTCTGTTTTAGCTCTGTGGGGTTAAGGAATATGATATAGCCATGGTATTCTAAATAGTATGCCTGAAGTGGGTACTAGAAATTTCTGTTTTCCACAAACATCCAAGGTGATCATGATCAGACAAGTTTGGGAAACAACTACAAAAAACTCTCATGTTGCTGCACATTTGCTTTTCATAAGAATTTAAAGTAGAATTTAATAGTGCTGCCCACCTTCTGGTTATTGTTCATAAAATGTTGCTTTAATTCCTATAGTACTATCAGTGCTAGCATCCTGGAATTTACACTGCTATTCACGATAGAAGTCTGGTTAAAAAAAATAAAGCAAACTATTTATTGCAAATTGTGGATGTTACATTTGTTACTGAAGGATCATGGATGTTTTATTTGTGCCTGGTTTTGGAGATGCCACCAAATGAATGTATAAACGTAGGATTAAGTTACCCTAAGCTTCCTCAGGCTGTCCATTGGCTGACAACTACTTGTAACTTAATAGAGGAGCAGAAAAAGAAAGGTGTAAGGCAGAAAAAGGAACAACTGGCTAACACTTAGCCATATTCGGTGGCTTGTTAGATTTGTGCAAAAGATAGTTTTTATATTTATTTATTTATTTTCTAAATTTTTATTATTTTTAAATAAGCTCTATACCTGACACGGGGTTTGAACTCATGACAACACCAAGATCAAAAGTTGCAAGTATTAATCACCACCTGAGCCAGCCAGGCACCCCAATAGTTTTTTTTTTTTAAGATTTTATTTATTTATTCATGAAAGACAGAAAGAGAGGCAGAGGGAGAAGGAGAAACAGGCTCCCCACAGAGCAGGGAGCCCGATGTGGGGCTCGATCCCAGGACTCTGGGATCATGACCTGAGCCAAAGGCAAATGCTTAACCTACTGAACCACCCCCATCCCCAATAGTTTTTATATTTAAACTACATTTAAACTTTTGGATACCAAGAGTTTATTGGTACGTGCCCCATTCCCAATACTTTTTATATTTAAAACTATATTTAAACCTGGATACCGAGAGCACTTACACCTAATTTGAATTCTAAAAGAGTCTACTAGACAAAATTTAGAGTAAAAGTAGCTATGTCCTTCTTACCATTTAAAAAGAAGCTTGAGGGCGCCTGGGTGGCTCAGTTGTTTAAGCGACTGCCTTCGGCTCAGGTCATGATCCTGGAGTCCCTGGATCGAGTCCCGCATTGGGCTCCCTGCTCGGCAGGGAGTCTGCTTCTCCCTCTGACCCTCCCCCCTCTCATGTGCTCTCTCTCTCTCATTCTCTCTCTCAAATAAAGAAATAAAATCTTTAAAAATAAAAAATAAATAAAAAGAAGCTTGAGATGTCTTATATATGAAATGCACTCTGTGTTGGTAAGGCAGTAGTGGGGTGGACTTGAGCACTGTACCCTGCTTAAAGGAAAACTCTGGGTGGTGATCTCAGATCATATTTACCTTTCATCTGATTTGTCTTTTTCTTTTTTCCCTGGCCCCATTCTTAAATTGACAAATTTGCTCCTTTCAGTAGTCTGTTTGAAAAAACACCTTGTTCGTCTACCATTTCTTCCTCCTGTTATTGTTAGTATTTTCACTTCTGCATTCTTCTCACCCAGCACATTGCCTGACATGTAGTAAATATGCGTTGAGTGTATGCAGTTAAAGGCTAAGAGAACTGAAGACGATGTACCTAACCAAGTGATTGCACTGTTAACCTAGCTGTGTGATTTTGTGCAAATAAATTGTCTATTCTTGTTTCTCCATCAATAAAATTGAGACTGTTACCTTTTCCTTCTAGCATACTATGACAACACATGGAAGAATCCTTCAGAAATAGAGGTCTCAGGGAGATGTAATTTATTTATATTTGTTCGAAATGCAAGAGCCCACTGTGCAGTATGCCGACTGCACCACAGAATGTTGCAAAGGAAGTGCATGCCCTCTCTTCCCAGAATACCCTTAGTAGTTGTGGAGTTTACATTTCGTGTATTCTCAATGCCCTTGTTCTATAATTTAATAAAAACACACTAGATGTGTAATACTGTTCCTAGGGTCTGTCTTACCCCACCACCTAATCACAGGCGTGAATGAGCTGTTCTGTTGCTCTACAACTGGAAGCTCAAGCTAAATTAGAAGTTGGATAGATATTTAATACTGTAAGTCTGTAATATTTAGGTCTGGTATGTTTATAACTAGATTATCCAATATACATTTATTTATTTATTTTTTAAAAGATTTTATTTATTTATTTGACAGAGAGAGACACAGCGAGAGAGGAAACACAAGCAGGGGGAGTGGGAGAGGGAGAAGCAGGCTTCCCGCAGAGCAGGGAGCCCGATGTGGGACTCGATCCCAGAACCCTGGGATCATGACCTGAGCTGAAGGCAGTCGCTTAACCAACTGAGCCACCCAGGCGCCCTCCAATATACATTTAAAGCCTAAAAACTGTGTACTGAACTTAAATGATGGCACTTTGTGTTATCATCTTCTCCATTAGTGTGAATCATTGAAAAATGTTAGAATGATTGAATAGAATATAATCATCCACCAAATATATGGTGGTATGGATATTAACATTTATACTAGAGCTGAGGACTTTATTGCAAATAGTACAGTGAGTGTGGAGGATGGAAAATTATGAAATCCATGATTAAGATTGCATTTATGGTTAGGCAATTGGGATTTGTAAGAAAATTTGAAGAGCACTAGGCTAAAAATCAAATTTGGAAATTCAGTGAACTATGCTTTTTCTATGGCATCTGGGTTGGAGAATGACTAAAATTGTCTTCAGATACAGATTTTTGATAAATACAGGAATTTGAATATAACAAATTTGAGAACATCAATTTTTTATTTAAAGCGTTATTCAAAATGTGAGTACTTCTTTATTCCTGTTGCCAAAAAATTCTAAGACTTTGTAAAGCTGAAATTTTGTTACTGATTTGCTCTGTTCTCCCCTCTCTTTTGGAACTTCACTTCATAATTTATTCCTTGCTTTCTGTATTTATATCTCATTGGCTCCTCCTCCAGCGTGTGTAAACGTGCTTAAGACTCTTGTGCACAAAAACAAAACAAATGAACTCTTAAACTCATCTCTCTCTCTGGCCTCTGTTCTTTTCTCCCCATCCAACCAGGCTCTTTCTTTGAAAGAATAGACTAAAACTCCTTTCTCTCCCTTTTCACTTCCCATTCAGTCTGTAACTCCCTGCCTTTTGCTATTGCCCCTGGCTGTCAAATAGAACTGTCCAGTCAAGGATCATTACCCTGACATTTTCATTCTTTTTGGTGTGTTGTTACATTTCATACATTTCTTCACTACCTTCTTATTGAAGTTCCTTCCCTGACTTCTGTAAACACACTCTTTCCTGTTTTTCTTCCTTCCTTTCTGACTGTTCCGATCCAGACGTGGAGGTCACCTCTGCCAGCTTCTCATCTTTTGATGACCCCTGAAATGTTAGTTTTGCCCTGAATTCTAATGGTGTTTCTTTTTCAGATGAAACCAGTATTTCTTGACACTTTTTTTTAAACCATGTCTCCTTTTGATAAATAAAAAATTCCCTGGCTCCTCTTCTGGTGGTGGTGCTTGCAGTAGGGAGTGATGGGTGCATTTATTCTTCTCTCCCATCCATGCACTGAGTCATTGATACAGAGAAGATTGAAGAAAAAACAAAGAAGATTGAAGATTTGCTGAGCTTTATTTTCTATACTTTGTAATCTGGAAACAGAGGTAATGTTTCCCTTCCAGTGTGAAACTATCTATTGAATATGGGTTTTTCAACCTGTAATACCCTCTCTCACTCCTACCCAAAATTTTGACACTTCCTACCCATTGGAAGTCACTAACTCTGTATTCAGTCTCCTTAGATAATTTCATTGACTTTTATCTATGCAGAGCACAATTTTTTATTTCCAGTCCAGAGCTCTTAGTATAAGACCTCTTATATCCAACCTCTTGCTGTACATCTTCACCTGGACAACTAGGTATTTTAAATTCAGTATGCCCCGAAGTGAACATATTATCCTCTCCTAAACCAGCTCTTCCTATATTATCTGATTTGAGAAATAGGAATAACACCACTTTCCCTACAGCTGCCTGGAGTACTCTTACTGAGTTAGTTTAACAAATCTTTGAAGCTCTTAATATTTTTCCTATTCATCCCCTTCTTTCTTGTGTTCTTGCTCTAATTTACGCCTCACATACATCTTGTTTAGATTTTTCCAATATTCCCCTAACTTGTGTCCTTGCCTCCAATCTCTATTCTTAATCTTCCATACCATCTCCAGGATAATTTTTCTAGAATACAATCTGTTGAATGCTTTTCTTGCTTGAAACCTTTCAATAGTTCCTGGTAGTGTTCTATAGTAGTTTTTAGCCTGTTTTACATCATGATCTAATTTGAGAAACGAAAGAAATGGAATGATTTTTCTTTTTAGAAAAAAATGGTCATGCACAGAGAATTTGCATACAGTTTTAGGGGGTTTGTTCATGAACATGGTTAAAATAATTCCTTGCTTATAGGATAAAACCTAAGCTTTCCAGAATCCCATGGTATACAAAGCACACCAGTTGTTGACTGCTGCTTACTCCTGCTGAGCCTCATCCCCCTTATATCTTATGATTTAACCATGTCAGATTCCTTAGTTTTTATGTTCTATGCTGTTTCAAAACGCTTCTATGCTTTTTCCTGGTCTTTACATCTAAAATGCATCCCTGTCTCATCCCCCTAAGCTGGTTCAGTTAGTGAATACCTACTCATGTTCCAAGATTGGCTCAGATTTTACTTGATAAAGCCTTTCCTGATTTTTACTTTTTCCCTTTCCCAGAGAAACTTTCCTGCTTCCTCTTTTGGGTTACCCTCTCCTATTCTGTGGATACTAACTTGTATCATAGAACTTTATTATTCAGATTTATTTGCATATTTTCGTTTTCCTCTGCTTGGTCAAAAACTCCAGAAGGCAGGTGATTTATCTTAATTTATGCCTAATATCTGTAGAGTACCTTGTATCTTAAGAAATGTGTGTTGAATGAACATACAAAATTATCAGAAGGCATTGCGTTCTGTTTCAGTAGATATAATTACTAGGTCGATATGAGGACTTTAAAGATTTTTCTAAACTATAAATTCAGCCTAGTAATCTTCACATGAAAGTAGTGTGTTATAGTTGTTGGGGAACTGCCTCACAAGTTTTAAGAAAATTAGGTTCCATCTTGGCCCTTGTTCCAGTTAGCTCTTGGTTACCAACACCACAGAATCATTCTAGCTTATTTAAGCAGAAATGGAACTTAGGAAAAGGGCATTGGGTAGCTCACAGAATGGATGGGAAGCTGGAAAATCAGGTTTGGGAAACAGGCAGGAACCAAGGGAGACTTGGCTGCAGACTCAACAGGGATCAGGCCAAGGAACAGAAGAGTTAGGACACTGCTGTTGGATCTGCAGCCTCTGCCTCTGCTGACTTAGTACCACAACCTTCTCCATGAATTATCTTTAAATGTTTTTCCACGTTCTCGATGCTAGTAGGAGTCTCTGACTTGGCTGAACCTACATCACATACCCTACATGCCGCAGAACAGGAGAATGGGAAAGAAAAAAAATCGACCTCATTTTAGCTTTTACAGTGGGGGCTGGGAGATTTCTGTTTCCTATCGAGATTGACGCAATGTTGGATGCTCCCTATAAAGGAAATTGGGTTCAGATGGCAGGCAGGCAAAAAAATACAATAAAAAAGCAAAGGTTCATTACAGCACCGTGCTAGCTAATACCTGACTGATAGGCCTCAGAAAACTTATTTTACCTTTGTGGGTATCCCTTTTTATATTTGTAAACTTGAAATTCTGTCACTATTAAATGGTAACTGTAAAAGTATCAAATATTTTGAGCTTTTTAAGAGTAAAGCACCCTGTAATTACACAGCGGGTGTGGCTTTTATTCCTGTGATGTAAGCTGTGACACTTTTTCCCTTTCTTTGGGGTATGTAGTAATAATTTTGAAATACTTTCTGAAGTTGATAAACTTTTTTTGTTTTTTTTAAAGATTTTATTTATTTATTTGAGAGAGAGTGAGAGAGAGAGTGCACGAGAGGGGGTAGGATCAGAGGGAGAAGCAGACTCCCCACTGAGCAGGGAGCCCGATGCGGGACTCGATCCTGGGACTCCAAGATCATGACCTGAGCCGAAGGCAGTCGCTCAACCAACTGAGTCACCCAGGCGCCCCAAGATTTATTTATTTATTTGAAAGAGCGAGAATGAGAGAGAGTACATGAGAGGGGGGAGGGTCAGAGGGAGAAGCAGGCTCCTCGCCGAGCAGGGAGCCCGATGCGGGACTCGATCCCGGGACTCCAGGATCATGACCTGAGCCGAAGGCAGTTGCTTAACCAACTGAGCCACCCAGGCGCCCCTGAAGTTGATAAACTTTTAAAGTTGAACAGGGCAGTCTAAGGCCTACTGTTTGATTTCATGTATGTTTTGATACAATTTGGTAGCATTGCTCCGTGAAGGTAGGAAACAATAGGGACTTTAAAAAATGCATTTATGGTTGCTATTATCAGTATTTACATAGGCTATCAAAAGAAATCCTAGTGCAATATTTAAAAGACGGTATTTAACCATTCAAAGCATATTTTTATGTTATTCTTCCTTTTTATCTCTTTATATAGCCACTGTTTCCTTTTGTGTATTTAAAATTGTGCATGGGGGCGCCTGGGTGGCTCAGTCATTGAGCGTTTGTCTTCAGCTCAGGTCATGATCCCAGCGTCCTGGGATCCAGCCCCGCATTGGGCTCCCTGCTCCGCGGGAAGCCTGCTTCTCCCTCTCCCACTCCCCCTGCTTGTGTTCCCTCTCTCGCTCTCTGTCAAATAAAATCTTTAAAAAAAAAATAAATTCTGCATGTATTTTTTCATTGTTTATCACTCTTAGACATTTTTTTTTAAAGATTTATTTATTTATTTTTATTTGAGAGAGAGAGAATGAGAGAGAGCGAGTACATGAGAAGGGGGAGGGTCAGAGGGAGAAGCAGACTCCTCGCCGAGCAGGGAGCCCGATGCGGGACTCGATCCCGGGACCCCAGGATCATGACCTGAGCCGAAGGCAGTCACTTAACCAACTGAGCCACCCAGGCGCCCCACTCTTAGACATTTCTCTTAGTTTGCTTATAGATCTTAAATTTTGTCAACATTGCCTGTCTCCTTTTCATGTTGTTACCTGAATTTTTCTTTTACTGGCTATTTCCTGAGATCTTAAAGCAGTTAGTATTATTGTTTAATTAAAAAAAACTCAGTTATTTGGAAACTCCTTAATAAGAATTTTTGATTTGAAACAACTGTTAAGGCATTTGGTAGGTAAAACAGCTACTAAGTCCATGTGAAGAGGCAAAAGTTGTAGTTGTATTAATTAGGGTACAAGTTAGGATGCCGAATGAAGAGATTTCAGAATGAAGTGCCTTAAATGACAGTCCTGAGGTGGTTAGTCCAGGCAGGGCGGCTCTGCTGCACGTGGTCGTTCAGGGACCCAGATCCTTCTCTCTTGTTACTTTACGATCCCCTAAAGTGGTGTCCTTGTTTGCATGTCAGAACTGGTTGTCTGCCATATTCACATTCTAAACCATAGCAAGGAGGAAAGAGAAAATCTTTAAAAAGAGGCCCACGGATTGCACACACAACTTCTGCTCATATTCCTCTGACTCAGGCTAATCATTTGGCACATGAAGCTGCTAAGGAACTGGGAAATGTGGTCTGCAGTTGTGTGGCCATGGACCTAGCTAGAATTTAGGAGGATTTATGTATGTATGTATGTATGTATGTATGTATTTAGATTTTATTTTTTAAGTAATCTCCACACCCAGCATGGGGCTTGAACTCACAACCCCGAGATAAGAGTTGTACGCTCTACCAAATGAGCCAGTCAGGTGCCTCAGGAGGCTTTATTATTAAAAGAAATAAGAGAATATATATTGGGGTAAAGGGAAAGGTGGGGGTATAGCCAGTGTTTTTGCCACATAGGTGAAAACAGAAACTAGGGAGAGATGGAAAGAGAAATTTGCTTTTGATCTGAAGTCTGAATTAATAAATTCTGACTTGTAAGTAAACTAAAGTTACAATTTTTAAAAATTACTGAGAAGAAAAGCCTGAGAAATACTTATTTTGGTATTAAGTTGAATAATTTCAGTCAATGGGGAAATGTACTGGCATGTAGCAAACTTTAAACTGAAAAAATAACTTTTTATGTTTTTTAGGTTTTACACATCTATAAGTAGACTTCTGGAGCTCTGCCCTCCAATTCAATGGCGTCCTCTACTACTGTGCCTCTAGGATTTCACTATGAAACGAAGTATGTTGTTCTCAGCTACTTGGGACTCCTCTCTCAGGAGAAGCTACAAGAGCAACATCTTTCCTCGCCCCAAGGTATTGTCTTTGACTCATGGTGGTTATGTTAAGTGGTAGTAATTACTTCACATATAAAAATACATATATCTACATAATTTGTATCTGTGGTTATAAGATCAAATAATACTAACAATCTTTTAAAGAATAACTCCTCACCCCATCCCTTCCTACCCCCTGATCCATTCCCAGAAAAGGCTTAATGCTTTTTAAGGGTCTGGTAATTTAAATGAGTGCTGTTGGTACATGTAAAAATGTACTAAGTACATGTAAATAAATGGAATTCTATCTTTCTCTAGAAATTTCATCCTTGGGGCTCCTGGGTGGCTCATTCTGTTAAGTGTCTGCCTTCGGCTCAGGTCATGATCTCTGGGTCCTGGGATCAAGCCCTGCATCGGGCTCCCTGCTGCAAGGGGAGCCTGCTTCTCCTTCTGCCTCTGCCTCTCCCCCCTGCTTGTGCTGGAGCTCTCTTTCTCTCTCTCAAATAAATAAATAAAAGCCTTTTTTTTTTTTTTTAAGATTTTATTTATTTGTTTGACACAGAGAGAGAGACAGCGAGAGAGGGAACACAAGCAGGGGGAGTGGGAGAAGGAGAGGCAGGCTTCCTGCTGAGCAGGGAACCTGATGCGGGGCTGGATCCCAGGACCCTGGGATCATGACCTGAGCCGAAGGCAGACGCTTAACGACTGAGCCACACAGGCGCCCCAATAAATAAAAGCTTTTAAAAAAATTTCATGCTTAACAAGACAGAGATTGGAATTACATAATTGTTTTATTTTATTTTTTATCACTATTATTTTTTAAAGATTTTATTTGTCAGAGGGAGAGAGAGCACAAGCAGGGGGAGCAGCAGGCAGAGGGAGAAGCAGGCTCCCCACTGAGCAGGGAGCCCCGATGCAGGACTCAATCCCAGGACCCTGGGATCATGACCTGAGCCAAAGGCAGATGCTTAACCAAGTGAGCCACCCAGGCATCCCTACATAATTATTTTAAAAGTTAAGTTTCTTAAAAAAAAAAAAAAAAAAGTTTCTTGAATTGACTTTTCTCAAGGATATTAGATTTAAACAATGGATTTATATATCTGATAGACTTTTTAAAAAATATTTTAACTTCTAGATTTATTTATTTATTAGAGTGTGAGAGTGCACACATGTGCATGGGGGGGGGTGGGAGGTCAGGGGTGGCAGAGGGAGAGAAAGAGAATCTTAAGTAGCCTCTGCACTGATCTTGGGGGCTTGATCCCACGACCCTGAGATCAAGACCTGAGCTGAAATCAAGAGTCCAACGCTTAACCAGCTGAGCCATGCAGTCTCCCTATATCTGATAGACTTAAGAGAGTTTCTAACATAATTTTTTATATTGTGAAGTTGGATATGTTTTTCTGTACATAGTTTACCGAATGAAAGTTAAAACAGTTGCTGGTGTCTAAATTTGTTTTCTTTATTAAGATGTAATATCATCATAAATATTCTTATCTATTGGTTTCTACTGGGGGTGGTTCTTATCTATTTGCTTCCATTCTAGCTCAAAAAAGGGTAGAGTTAAGAATTCAGAAATGATGGAATCCAGTAGCCATTCTGACAGTAGGGATGACAAAAGGTGTCCTCATATTGCTAATTTAAATACTTAAATGTGACTAACTGGTGTGTTCTGGTTTGTTTGTTTGTTTTTAAGAGAGCACATGCATGCAGTGGGGAGTGGAGGGAAGGGGCAGAGGGAGAGGGAGAGAGAATCTTGAGCATGCTACACGCCAAGCATGGAGCCTGGCTCAGGGCTCAATCCTAGGACCTTGAGATCATGACCTGAGCCGAAATTGAGTGTTGAACGCTTAACCGATTGAGCCACCCAGGTACACCCTGCTGTATTCTGTTTTTAAATATTGAATCATATTTTAAGTACACCAAGATAGGTTGCTATTTTAACAAAATTACATCAAAATAACTTTTTCTTTAAGATTTTTATTTATTTACTAGACAGAGAGAGAGAGCAGGAGCGAGCTCAAGTAGGGGGAGCAGCAGAGAGATAGGGAGAAGCAGGCTCCCTGCTGAGCAGGGAACCCGATGCAGGGCCTGATCCCAGGACCCTGGGAACATGACCTGAGCCGAAGGCAGATGCTTAGCCGACTGAGCCACTCAGGTGCCCCGGCAAAATAACTTTAAAAACTCCTAAGAGATACCAATTATTTAATTTATTATTTATTTATTTTTAAAGATTTTATGTATTTTATTTATTTATTTTATTTTATTTTATTTTTAAAGATTTTATTTATTTGACAGAGAGAGACACAGCAAGAGAGGGAACACAAGCAGGGGGATTGGGAGAGGGAGAAGCAGGCTTCCTGCGGAGCAGGCAGCCCGATGTGGGGCTCGATCCCAGGACGCTGGGACCATGACCTGAGCCGAAGGCAGACGCTTAACGACTGAGCCACCCAGGCGCCCCTATTTATTTATTTTTTAAAGATTTTATTTATTTATTTGGCAGAGAGAGACAGCCAGAGAGAGAACACAAGCAGGGTAAGTGGGAGAGAGAGAAGCAGGCTTCCCGCCGAGCAGGTAGCCCGATGCGGGGCTCGATCCCAGGACGCTGGGATCATGACTCGAGCCGAAGGCAGACGCCTAACGACTGAGCCACCCAGGTGCCCCAAGATGTATTTATTTGAAAGAGAGAGAGTGGGCACAAGCAGGGGGAGTGGCAGGCAGAAGGAGAGGGAGAAGCAGGCTCCCTGCTGAGCAAGGAGTCCAATGCAGGGCTCGAACCCAGGACCTTAGGATCATGACCTGAGCCAAAGGCAGATGCTTAATTGACTGAGCCAGCCAGACACCCCTAATTTATAATTTATAACCAAACTTACAGAACATATTTTACTTTCTTCTTTTTTTAAAATTTAAGCTTTATTCATTAATTTTTTTTTTTTAAGATTTTTATTTATTTATTCATGAGAGACAGAGAGAGAGAGGCAGAGGGAGAAGCAGGCTCCCAAGGAGCAGAGAGCCCAATGTGGGACTCGATCCCAGGACTCTGGGATCATGACCTGAGCCGAAGGCAGACGCTCAACCGTCTGAGCCATCCAGGCGCCCGCTTTATTCATTTATTTTAGAGAGAGAGACAGTGAGTGGAGGGAAGGGCAGAGGGAGAGAGAGAGAAGCCGACTCCCTGATGAGTGTGGAGCCTGATGCGGGGCTCAGGCCCACGACACCAAGATCATGACCTGAGCCAAAATCAAGGGCTGCATGCTCAACCTACTGAGCCACCCAGCTGCTCCTTATTTTCTTATTTTCTAATCGTTGTCAGTATACATAGTTTTTACATAGTTATAATCAATTATTTGTGATTTTATTTCACTGGTTTTTTTTTTAAAGATTTTATTTATTTGAGAGAGAAAGAGAGAATACACTCTCAAGAGCACAAGCAGCAGGTAGGGGCAGAGGGAGAGGGAAAAGCAGTCTCCCACTGAGCAGGGAACCCGATGCGGGGCTCAATCCCATGACCCTGAGATCACGACCTGAGCTGAAACCAAGAGTTGGACACTCAACCGACTGCGCCACCCAGGCGCCCCTAAAGATTTTATTTTTAAGCAATCTCTATACCTAACATGGGGCTCGAACTCAACCCAAGATCAAGGTCGCATGCTCTACTAACTGAGCCAGCCAGGTACCCCTGTTTCTAGTTCTTTTAAAAATCAGTAGCACTGGGGCGCCTGGGTGGCTCAGTCGTTAAGTGTCTGCCTTCGGCTCAGGTCGAGATCCCAGGGTCCTGGGATTGAGCCCCGTATCGGGCTCCCTGCTTGGCGGGAAGCCTGCTTCTCCCTCTCCCAATCCCCCTGCTTGTGTTCCCTCTCTCGCTGTGTCTCTCTCTGTCAAATAAATAAAATCTTTAAAAAATAAGTAAATAAAAATCAGTAGCACTGCTATAAAATTTTTGGTTTACCATAAAAACCTTTTCACCTAGGTCACTAACACTGGTAGTAGGGCTTTCATTGAAAATAAAATCTAAAAAAAAAAAAAGTGCTTTTATATATTGCCTTTATTTTTTCATTTATTTACTTTTCCTAAATCATCTAGAGTCAAACTAGTGGATCAAAGAGTAATAATATTTTTATGAGGAGCTTGTCATTTAAAATAAATATGTGATGGGGTGCCTCGTTGGCTCAGTCAGTTAAGCGTCCGACTCTTGATTTCAGGTGAGGTCATGGTCTCAGGGTTGTTCTCTCTCTCCCTCTCCTTCTGCCCCTCCCCATTCCTCTCTCTCTCTCTCAAAAAAAAAATTAAAAAAAATTAAAATTAAATATGTGGCCTCTAAATTGTCAACCATAGCATATCTTTTTTTTACACATTGTTTTAAAAATTAGTTATAACTTCTGAAAGTGCTGGATTCCATTGTTTTAAGACTCAGGTATTTAGACTCAGTGGACATGTACCATGGATTTATAGGGAGTCCAACCAAGTAGTTGTGTTGATAGTGATTAATGTATAAATGGTTAGTGCAGCTGAGGTAGGAATTATATCCGGACCTACCAGCATTTTGCTTTGGGACGAAGATTCCAGGAATTAATTTTATGAAACACATGTGGTTTTTATTTATTCATTTATTTGTGAGAGAGAGAGCACAAGCGAGTGTGGGGAGGGGCAGAAGGGGAGGGAAAGAGACAAAGCAGACTCTGCGCTGAGTGTGGAGTCCAACTAGGGGCTTGATCCCAGGTCTCTGAATTCACCACCTGAGTTGAAACCAAGAGTTGGATGCCCAACTGACTGAGCCACCCAGGCACCCCTGAAGCACATGTGGTTTTTATACTTTAACCTCCTAGAACTCTATAGATGCCAAAACTGGATATTAAGACTCACTAGATTAGAGCAAGATAATGTATTACTACTCCAGCCTAGGAAACACTAGGAGTGTTACATGTTAGCGCTGGTTCACCCTGCCTCTAACTACCATGGGGTAATATGATGAGCCCACCTGATGGCATTTTATGTAGTGGGTTGTACTGCAGCTGAGGAAGCCAGTACTAAGGGCTTAGTACC